AAATAATGTAAAAATTATTTATTTATGTTTATTCTAAAAAAAAATATTTATTTATTTATTTGAAGAAAAGAATTAAATTTAATCAAAATAAAAAAATAATAAAAAGCTATTTTTGCTAAAAAAAGTTTACTGCCCAGTTTGTCGAAAAGACAGCTGGGAAGGAAAAAAAACACGATCATGCGCGTAAAAAAAATTTTTTTATCAAAATTCAAGATTTTCATAATTAGCAATGATTTGCAAACAATATTTCCTCGGGTATTTTTATTTTTAACAGTTTAGGAAATTTCCTTCGCGTTTAAGAACATGTAAAAACTCAAATTTCAAATAAAGCCATAATTCTTATTTCTTTACAGAACCTAAAATTAAAATCAATATTATAAAAAAAAGCCTGCCTTTACAAGTGAGTCCTCTATACTTTTAAAGGTCATACAAAATTTCTCTCACCATTGATAATGGATATATATGGTAAATTTTTTCTGTGATGATCGTCACCCAAATTATCACAAATTCTATTGGCTCGAAAATCATAGTAATTATACAAAGTTATACTAGTATAACGGGAATTTTTGAAAATGTCATCATAATGAGATGTGTCATGCATATATATATTTTAAAGTTATATAGTTGTACATCATGATGTCAAGATTGTCGTCACGATGTGACAAAATATATTAGTGCAACAAAAAGAAAAAATCTAAAGGTGGATTGGATGATATTTTGATATTTATTATTTTTGAGTTAAAAGGTCCTGCCTGCACTCTAAAATTTAATCCGTCATCCGATAATCACACAAAAAATACATCCGCCAGATTCGGGTGAATTGAATAGATAATCTAACAAACATCATCATATATAAAGATTATTAAAAATACAGCAACAGCAACGGTAATCCATAAATTTAGTTTAATAGATGAATGCATTCATAAAATATGTTAACAAAGAGCAAAAGAATTTAGTAGAAAAACCAAAAAGTGTTTTTAGAGATGAAACAAAGCTCAAAATGTTTTTTATAAACTAAATTCTAAAGGTTTAAAGGGAGAGGGAACGATTTCCAATTGGTTGTATACAAACTGAGTTTAAATCAACTCTATTTTGGTTTGGAGAACAATTTTCACTTATTTAATGCCGAAGTAGATATTGACGACTTTTTAACATTTTAAAGACGAATTGCTTAAACCCCAAAAATCACAAAATCACGACGATAAATTTATTTCAATTATTATGTTAACTATTTTTTTTTTTATAAAGAAACCTTCGCCTAGTATGCAAGTCGTGCTTACTCGACTGTTCAAAGACAAAGCGCAAGACGTGTTAAATAATAATAATAAGTTTTTTCGGTTAACTAACCTTTTTAGAAATTTCCCGACGATCAAAATATCATCCACGGATCGCATCTACTAAATCATTTATAGATCAAAAATTGATAGAATTGCTTTAAAAGCCTTCTTCAATATCTTGAAAAAGTTCATATTAAGCAATTGAGGCTTTTCATGTTAAATATTTTCACACAATCTGACTCACAATACCTAGATGACTGGCTACCCTAGAATGGAGATTAATTACCCTATTAAAAAAAAAATACATTATTAATTTCAGAAACACTCGTGAAAATTTCCACGAATTTGCGAACCGACTTTCCACCTGTAATCTTTCTGTGATTTTGTATATGATGCATTTCTGGAGAAAACATGGAACTTCAAATCATGGATCGAGTTTTTTTACAGGGTTAAAATTTCCTTGCGCCGTACTTTTAGAGCTCCATCATCAACAATTACAATAAGGAAAATACTAAACAATCAATAAGAAACAATAAAGAATGGCAAAAAAATTTAAAAAATATCAATATAGAACTTAAAAATTGTGAATTCAATTGATACGTTTGAATACATCAATCTTTGTAATCTGTAATCCTTGCCCTTATCAAAATTATGATTAATGGAATATGATAGTCAACACCAACCCATTAATTATCGAAAACCCGATAATTCCAGATGAGATGTTTGCCATAATCAATAATGCTGCAAAAAAACATATAATGAATCAATACGGCTATGTAAATGCAAGCGAAGACCAATAATTAAAGTATGTTGTAGTAATAATGATAATGATAATGATATTGATATTGATAATAATAATAATTGGGAAAACAATAAATATTTTAAATAAAAGTGGGTAGAAGCTACAGATTTGGAACAGAATGATGAAGCAGATAAATATCAAGAAGCATGGAGAGTTTTAAGATCTGCAAATGGTATTCTCGTTCCTGGCGGATTTGGAAATCGTGGTATCGAGGGTAAAATTTCAGCAGCAAAATGGGCACGTGAAAATAAGATTCCTTATTTAGGTGTTTGATTATTTTATTATCATTGTTGCTGTAATTCTATATGTACTATTTCTAACATTGATAAAATGAACAGGAATATGCCTTGGTATGCAAATTGCTGTAATTGAATTTGCACGTAATGTTTGTAAGATGACAGGTAATGATAATTCTTTATATATATGTATATAATTTACTAAATATTTAATATAATTAATATAATTAAATCCCTTTTTTTTTTTTTAAAGATTCAGATTCTGAAGAATTTAATCCAAAAGCCACTAACCAAGTCATAATTAATATGCCAGAAATTTCTACAACCTGCTTAGGTGGTACCATGAGACTAGGTTTAAGACCAACAGTCTTTCAACCAAAAACAGAATTGTGGTCAAAAATGCGTAAGTTTTATAATAACATTAATAATATTAATTGTAATAGCAAATAATGATGGTGATGATGTTACCATTAATACTACCATTTTAGGCAAATTGTATGAAATTATGAACGTGACAGAGATTGATACTGGTATTGTGCAAGAACGTCATCGTCATCGTTATGAAGTTAATCCTAAATACGTTAAAAATTTTGAATCATGGGGATTAAACTTCATTGGACGTGATGAAACTGGACAAAGAATGGAAATAATGGAATACCGAAGTAATTAATCATCATCAATCATAAAATCACCATTTTATTAATGATATTAATTATAAATTATTATTTTCATTTTAGATCATCCATTCTTTGTTGGTACACAATATCATCCAGAATATCTTAGCAGACCGCTTAAACCCTCACCAGCATTCCTTGGTTTTGTGTCAGCATCGGCGGGATTGACAATTGAATCATCATTCAAAAATTAAAAACAATTTTATTTCATAAACTTTATTTGCCTTAATTTTTTATTATTGATAATATTAATTTTTGTATTTATGTAATTAGTTTTTTTTATCATGCGTTTATTTAATTATAATGAATGTCAGGTTATTCAAATCCATCATCAAAAGAAGCTTTATCTTTGACATTCTTTCTTTCTATTAAAATAAAAATTTCTTAATTAATCAATCACCTACATTAACATATTAATATCCAAGTTAAAATTTAAAATTTAACTTTTTCTCATAACTTTGATTTTTTCCAATACTTCTTTTGTTGTTCTTGCACCTTTTCTACTTGGACTTTTTTAACCAAATTTCTTCAATTCTTGCATTCTCACTCGCTTTAATTTTTTGATTTTATCATTTCTGCAAAATAATCATCCGGCCTTGTAAATGGTACTCCTGATGCTATAACTTTCTCTCGTCCTTCAATTGCTCCTTCTAATGCATGTCCATAGCGATTATTTTTTTAATATATATATATTTATTTATTTATTTAACGTACATACGTGTGTGGGGAAGGGAAACAAAAAATTTTTTCTTCATACAATTCTAATTCACGCTCAAGATCATTATCAACATCATTGATATTCACCGGCTTAGAAGTTGTAATTGATTGTGTTTCTATCCACGGCAAGTCAAGTTTAATCTGTTCATATATTTGTTTTAATGCTGGCTTTATTAAACAAAAAAAAATTTTGATCGTTAATTTTATCAAAAAAATACGTAAATCAACAATTTTTAAAACATACTTTATTATGCATTGTTGCGGTATTACATCCTCATCTACGATTTCTGAATCTGATAAGTCTTCTAAAGAAATTAAAAACGGAAAATTGATAATTGAATCTTATGTATTCATAACAAGTAAACCTTATTACACTAATTCAGGAAGATCCAAATCCTCCCTATAGCTAATTGTGGCTTGATAGAAAGTCATCATTGCTGCTGCTTCCATCAGCTAGACATGTCCTGCCACAGTTAAAATGGCAGCAGAGAGGTCAGTAAGTCCCCCTTATAATGGATCAGGTCTCTCCATAAGTGTTTGTGTGCAAAAAAATGTTCCTTATGTTACGGGAAGCATTAACATCTCAATTCCAATGTGTCAGACAAACTGATTTGCAGGCTCTGACAGACCAGAATTTTTTGATGCTTATCAAACCACCCATCACACAATGAACAGACTGAGGAAGTACGGAACTCATCAATGTTCACCAAGAAAGCTCCTGGCAAAATTCTTTTACAGGGCCTGGTGCATGCCCACGTGATGTTGATGAGAATTTACCATCGCCAAATGCAACAACTGTACTGTCACCATTGCTATTTGTTATTCTCTTGCACAGAATATCAAAGGCCTTCTGTTTATTGATTTCCATCACAACCAACACCAGTGATGTTCACAATAAAAATCAAAGAATTATGTCAATATAAAACAGAATGTAAGCAAGGTAAGAGCCATATTCATAGACATTGGTGACACCAGAGGTTAGAATATCTAGATTTTGTATTAGTATTAGGCAAAGGGTATGTAAGTAATATTATTCAATGATATTCTTGTTAAACAGCAAATTAAATTAACAAAGTATAGCTCACCTTGAATAACACCCTGAAGATATTTGTTTTTTTCCAACCACAACTCATGTTTTTTATGAGCACAAACAAACCCTGGTAAGTTCCAGTACTCCTTGTTGGAACAGCTCACAACTTTTTCATCTGAACTCACTGCCATAAACAGATCTTTTCTTCCAGGATCCAGTCCAAATACTTTGCATCCATTTAAATCAATATTTAATCCTTCTTCATCAACATCCTCTTTATCATCATCAACTTTCTTCTGCAGACCAACTGATACTGCAAGACCATCAGTTTGTATGGAGTAAGCAAAGATTCGATTTTGGGTGGTGACTTTATTAATATTAAATGCTTCCATCCACCAAATTTCCTTTTCAGTTCTGAATCTTTGAATGGTTGTTACTCCTACTTTTTCAATTGATTTGTACATATAATATAAAGCATCAGTATCAACTAATATGTACTTTTGTTGGAAAGAGTATTCAGGCAGAAGTGTGAAGAGATGGAGACCACATTCCCTGTTATGTTTGGTAAAGGTGCACAGGATTTTATGAAGACCTGAAAGATATGACCACCAGGATGCTTTTACAGACACATCATCAAGAGCTTGATTTTGGAATAATGTCTGTTGCACTTTCAAATGAATATATTGAATGCAGGTAGTAAGGTAAATTAGGTATTGTGGATGTGATGTAGAGAGTTTATCAATAATGTTTGAAGGGAGGGAAGGGAGATCTTGATTTTTCAAGTTAGTGATGAAATGGTTTATAATGGTGTTGATGTGTTTTTTGGGTAAAGGAAATTGATGAATCTTAAATAATTTATATTTTATTCATCTTTTAAGTCAGTTATCAAGATTTGTTATGTGGTTCTGACAATTTGTAACATATTGCCATGCAGCAGAGGAAAGAAGTTGTCCTAATGATTTTTTATTTGTCCAACTCATTCCTTAAGGTCAATATTGTGTATAGAGGGCATCTTGAATATTATTTATGATGGGTTTGTTGGTGGTGTCAGGGGTGTTTTGGGATGTAGTTACAGCTTGGAAACATTGCCTCATATACTTGAAAGCACCTTCACTTGTGTTGAAAGGAAATTGATCACCAAGGGTCATGTGATAAAGTGCTGTTTGGTTAGCCAATCGAGAGCCTTCAAAAACAATTTGAGTCATTCTTTCAACAGCACTTTGGATTGCAGGCTCAAGATCTTTATCTTTAAGGAATCCTCCAAGTCCAGTTTTTACTGTGCATCATTTGTATTTTGTGTTTTTTTCTTGAACAGATTTGGATGCACAATGTTTTTGAAATTTACAAAGGTTGCTGAAGAATGTGAATGATCAGTCCCCTTACAAGTTGGACAAGGATGTCTAGATATTTAAAAAATATATATTAAGTGATATTCCTAAAAAATAAATGGTAAATATTTACTTGATTTTTTTGTTGTTCTTTGTTTATGTCCTTGTTTGCTTTTCTTTTAGTTGCATTTTTAGAAGATTCTGCATATGGTATATCTGTTTCTATATTAATATTTTTGTGTTTTTTTGCAAGAATCTCTACTTTGTCATCACTAGGAGCTTTTTGTTTGCTTGTATGTATTAACATTGAAATAATAAAACAGAATTGACAAAATTCTAATCATGAAAAAAAAAATTGATTGAGAAAAAAAGTTGTTTTTTTGGTTTAAAATGTTTTTTTTTGATTTCTTATAATGGATAATGATATTGTATTATTTGCCAAAGGAAATTGGAAGGAAATTGAATGATTTTTTTTTTGAAAAGATTGTCATTTGTTAACTTTTTATAAGAAAAGCATCATTTTATTATTAATTAATTGACAATTTAATTGATTATTGTTTATTAGCTAAAGATGCTATTTACTATTACTATCATTTATCCTGTTTCTTGGATTGTATCATTGATTTGTTTATTGCTAAAAATAAAACATGCATTTAATTGAGTTGATTATTTGATTACTAAAAACAAAGTGCTGTGCATTTAACTAATTGATTATTTGATTACTTTTAAGAAAAGCATTATGCATTTAATTAATCAATTGACAATTGAAATTTATTATTCATTTACTTGACAATTGGATTGATTATTTGTTTATTACTAAAATTAAAATGTGCATTTAATTAAATGACAATTGAATTGATTATTTGTTTATCCCTGTTGGGATAAAAATATTGTTACCGGAATTAAACTTTGACAAAGATCTTTTGGCCGAATCTCTTAATTCCGGGTCAATTTAATATTTATTTTATTATTATTTTCTAATTATTTATTTGTATAATTGTTTATCGTTTACGTCCCGTATATTTAATTATCATTAATTAATTCGTAGCACGTTAATATTTATTTAATTTTATTTAAACAAAAAAAGAAAGATACTCCGCCACCAGGGTGGTCGTGACACGGCAAATGTTTGTTTCTCGTGTTAAATTAAATATTTTTTTTTTAAATAATAAATGAATTAATTCCAAATTGTTTTTCTGGTGGAGATGCTAATACTAAATCAATAATAATAATGGATTAATTTCTTGCTGGTATTTTAGTAGTAGGAGAGGGGTTTTTTCAAAAAAAGCTTAATTAATTTTCTTTAACAACACATTTTTGAAAAGGCTCGATTTTAATCAAGTGATTTCTTTTTCATTTTTTTTTTACTTATAAGTACAACCTCTGAACGTTTTTAAAAAAAATTGGGAGAGTGGTCATGATCATGATCAATGATCAAAAGATTTATACAATGCAATCAATTTTGTGAAACGAAAATTTTCCTTTTCTTTCGAAAATTTCCAAAGAGAGATAG